GCCCTCTTCCTAACATCGCCACACTCATCCCTACAGCCCTGCTCATAGGAAGGAAACCACCTCCCTTTGTTAGCCCTGGGGGGGCCTGGCCATGCAGGGGATGGAGCCAAGCAAGGATGTTTCAGAGCCACATGAAGTGGCTGAACTGAGTGAGCAAGGAGTGTTCTCTGGTCTGTGAGCATTACCTTGTTCCTAGGGGAGATGTCAACGTAGACTTTGCTCTGCGACGCCAGAGGACATGCGTCAGTAAGTGTGCGAGAGAACATCTTAAAGAGGGACCAGTCTGCGGGAAGCAAAGTCAGTGGCAGGCGGAGTGAAGTGCTGCAGGCTGGGGGCACTCGAGGACCACAGCACATTGCCACTGAGCTTACCTTTCTTTCCTTGGCCACTGGAAAAGGTGTCAAACACCACAGTGAGGGTCTGCCTGAGCTCCCAAGACACAGCCAGGCAGGAGGCATCCTGGACAAGAAAGAGACAGGTGGCTCTGATCACACTTTCTGGAGGGGCAGGACACCAGGACGGAGCTGGAACTCCACCAGGACTGCAAGAATCCCATTGGGACACAGGTGACACCAGAGAAGCAGGACGACAGCTGTTAGACACAGTGAACCCACCACAGGGGAGCTGGGCAAACCGGTGTGTCACCTTGCAGTGTCACAAGGCAGCTTCTGATTTTCTCTTGGGGTTGTTAAAGGAGGGAGTCCTGAGTCTCACACTTACCCTGCAGATGGGGCGGATGTGCACTGCCTGCGAGTGGTAGCTGCTGTGGAACAAGCGCTCAGCCTTCAGCAGCACAGCAAGCCCAGCCTGCAGGGAGAAAAGAAGAAACTCAGCCCCAGGTCTGTTCTCTGCTCCCACTGAGAGAAAGGCCCTGATGAGACTTCCCACTGCATGCTCCTGGGTTGCTATCAGGAACCCAGCTCAATCAGGAGTGGCCCGATGAAGCAGCAGGACTCGCTGTTACCTTTGAGCCACATGGGAGCAGCTTCTTCCAAGGTGTGAGGTTCTCTGTGCAGACAACCTCCCGGGGCAGGACGGCATATCGCAGGAGATGGTGGTCGGTCCCTGGGCAGGGAAGTGGAGGGTCAACAGGCTGGTACTGCTGCAGGCGTGAGAGCAGAAGCAGACCTGTTCCACCCTGCAGCCCACCACCCTCTCAATATGCCCCAAATGCCCCGAGCTTAATCAGGAATAGATCCCACACTGTTCAGAGTGATTTGGAAAGAATAGGTAAGGGTATATTCTGGCAGATTTTTTTCATGAGTGCCTTAAATCCTCTAGTCCTCACTGTTTTGTAAAATACTTTTCAGAGAGACAGATGAGGGCCTGGGAACATCTGCCATGTACTGCTTGTGGGTTTCCTTTGTTCCAATCCAAGCCTCATTTGTAGGGAGAGGAAATGCTTCCAGGAGGAGCTTAACAGACCCTGTTGTACACACCCAGACCCAGAATCATTGCAGGACCTGCACCCAGACTCCCTGCGGTGGCACAGGGCAGAACTAAAGCTAGAGGCAAGAGTGAGAGGGCAGAGCTGGGCAGCCAGGTGCAGGCTGGGCTCACCATTGGCTAAGCCCAGGGGTTTGAAGGACGCTGTTGGAGTGACTGTGTTGGTCGAGTCAATGAAGTTGAGAGAAGCACAGAATATTCCTGAGAGGATGTTACTCAGTTCTTTCCAGGCTTTGTCAATACTGTGTGAGAACAGATACCAGAGATTACTCAGCAGCTCATATCCTCAGAACAACAAGTGTTAAGCCAGTAACATTCAATAAATACACTGGGGTGACCACGCTGGCTTTCAGAAGCTGCAAGCAGCGTGCAGGCAGAGGCTGCTGGTCGTGCACTCTCCAGCTTTCTTGGTATTTTATTCTAACACATGAGATCTGGGGACATTCACTGCAGGGGCAGCCCCTGGGCTGGCAGGGCTTCACACAGCCAGGGACCCGGCGGTGGGTGCAACTGGTATGTGAGGAGGGGGCTGGGGGAGCAGGGAGCATGCGGGAGATGATGTGCAGTGTATGGGGAAGGGGCTGTGAGACCTAAAGCAACACCTTGGTGCAGCTCTGAAGGCTGACCTGACCAGCAGACCCGCAACGGGCCACTTGTAGGGAGGCAAGAGCTCTGTGAGTCTACACAGATCTGCTGCAGATCTAACAGGGGCTGTGTGCTGAGGGAGGTGGTGACAAGTATTGGATGGGAGCCAGAGGAAGTGAGTCACGGATGAGAGGTCAAGATATAACCCCATTGTATTAGCACAGTGAGGGGTTTGTCATCACAGAGCCCATAAGGGAATTACTCGTTCCTTTAGTGAACAAGGGTTTGCCCTCAGCACTACATCCTCCCCGCACACTGAGCGGGGCTACGTTCTGCTTTTCCTTAGAGCTGCTCCTGGGGTTGCAGGCTCTTTATTCCAGCGGACACTTTCCAACCCTAGAGGCCCCTGCACATGCTGTGGCTGCCTCGTGTGAGAAGGGTGACAGCTCCTGAGAGAGGTGGCTGTGGAGGGCACCCAGAGGGACAGACCTGCGGCCGGGGTACCTACTTGGTGACAGTAGGCTGGAACCAGACCCAGAGCTCGGCGCCAGCAGGTGCCTGGAGGGGCGGCTGCCCCCAGGCCCGGGTGCGCCAGAAGCCCTGGGTGAGGGCGAGGTGGAGCTCCCGCACGCCCAGCGCCGCCACCAGCCGTCCCAGCGCCTTCGGGAAGAGCCTGTAGTGAGAGACTGCGGGCAGTGTTAGCCCCTGCCCTGGCCCCTTCCCTGTCATGTCACGTCACACCGGGGCCTGGCCAAACGTGACGTCATCCCCTGGTGTTACCCCCACTTGCGTCAGTGCACCAAGCCCCCTCATGCTGATGTCACCGCAGCCCCTGTAGCCTCGCTCTGCCCTGTTCCTGCTCACTTCAGCACCCCTCCCGCAGCACCCTTACCCCGCCTCTGGCGTCACTTGTCCCGCTGGCGTCATCGCCCC